AATCTGAAAAGCTTGAAAGATAAAATCCTAGACTATGAATTGAAAAGTACAGGATAAAGAGATAGATTTTGTGTGTTGAGTCGGAGGTCCTCTTCTCTTCATCTGACGTCCTATTTATAGAGCTCCTCAGCTCATGGGTTTGGGCATTCAACTAACTCTGCCTTGGAAATCCTCCCGATGTTAATGCTTTCTTGTCTTTGAACTCCGCCACTTGTAGGAAAACATCTGCTGAAAACATCTGCTAGAAAACATCTGCTGAAAACATCTGCTAGAACTTCTGAACTTAGTTTCGTAGGCTGAGCTTTGGACTTGATTTGACACTTGGTGAGAAGTTCTGAACTTAGAGCTCCTAACTTAGTTAAGACTCCCACCAACATTAAGTGACGTGTGAACTCCAAGTATTTGGATGTCGGCCGCGTGGGTTCCCTACTCAACCAGACATCTTAGCTTTTTGTTTGATATCGCATGAAGCCATCTTGGTATGTTGGTCTTTCAGCCAACACTTTGGCCAACTTTGCAGCCGCTATTTTGCATCCAGCACATTGCAACCCACATTTTGCATCCAGCACATTGCAACCCACATTTTGCATCCAGCACATTGCAACCCACATTTTGCATCCAGCACATTGCAACCCACATTTTGCATCCAGCACATTGCAACCCACATTTTGCATCCAGCACATTGCAACCCACATTTTGCATCCCAAGCTTTGCATCCCACATTTTGCATCCAGCACATTGCAACCCATCACTTTGCAACCCACATTTTGCATCCAGCATTTTGCATCCAGCACATTGCAACCCATCACTTTGCAACCCACATTTTGCATCCAGCATTTTGCATCCAGCACATTGCAACCCATCACTTTGCAACCCACATTTTGCATCCAGCATTTTGCATCCAGCACATTGCAACCCATCACTTTGCAACCCACATTTTGCATCCAGCATTTTGCATCCAGCACATTGCAACCCATCACTTTGCAACCCACATTTTGCATCCAGCATTTTGCATCCAGCACATTGCAACCCATCACTTTGCAACCCACATTTTGCATCCAGCATTTTGCATCCAGCACATTGCAACCCATCACTTTGCAACCCACATTTTGCATCCAGCATTTTGCATCCAGCACATTGCAACCCATCACTTTGCAACCCACATTTTGCATCCAGCATTTTGCATCCAGCACATTGCAACCCATCACTTTGCAACCCACATTTTGCATCCAGCATTTTGCATCCAGCACATTGCAACCCATCACTTTGCAACCCACATTTTGCATCCAGCATTTTGCAGCCAACATCCCAAGCTTTCCCACGTGACTTGCTGCTTCCTTTGTCCAAATGTTAGTCAACAAAACACCACTTTTGACTGCAACTTGCATTTATATATATAAATAACAAGACAATTGGATTCCAACCCAAACACTTGCAACCCAATTTGCAAAGAGACCAAATACCCCAGCCGACCAAGTTTGGGAATGCCAAAGTAAACCCACGTGGGTCCTCTCATGTCCAAGCCATTTCTTCAGCCAAGTTCAAAACCTCCCTTCTTGGTTTACATGCTGGCTACATTTCTTTTCCTCATTTTCTTCTTCAAGACCCAAAACCGAGGGTACTGTTCAGAAATCCAGAAGTCATAGTTCGGAAGCTCCAATTAGAAAACTTCCTTCATGAAAGTTGTTCGTCTACTTGAGAACTAAAATATGTGAAAGTTGTAGATTTTTCTGAATTTTCCTGATGCCTCAAAACGGGTTTGCATCTTTTGTGTTCAGCCATGGCTGCTGGGTTTCTGCAGACTCGGTTTCTGCATTTGGTTTCAATATATGATTCTCGGATGGTTTTGATTGCTTCACGAAACTTGCTCGAAATTGTGTTGGCTATAACATATCCAAAATTGAAGATCATCCAACCGTTGGAGTGCCCCCTGCCTTCATTTTTCTGAAGTATGGACTTGGAGACCACTTGACTTAGCTTGGATTTGGAGACCACATCCAAACAATAACAACAGAAAATATGAAACAAAATTTGATAGATTCCTCTCTGTTTATAGATCACTAGCTAGATTCACTTTGAGTAGTAATAATATTCTTGAATTGGTCATTTTGTCCTTTACACATCCATTCCCTCTGCTAATATGAAAAATTGCTTTCAGCAGTGTCCATTGTCCAATGTCTTTATTATGCATCCATGTGTTGGGTTTACAGAACCAGAGGCCCTTTCCAGTGTACATTTACTGTCAAAACTTTATATTATAATGTTTTAAGCAAATCTAGTACAAGATTGTGAGTTGAGTTTGCCTAAGGATTTTATGTTGCTCCAGCCTCTCTCTCTCTCTCTCTCTCTCTCTCTCTCTCTCTCTCTCTCTCTATATATATATATCTCTCTCTCTCTCTCTCTCTCTCTCTCTCTCTCTATATATATATATATAATGCCTCTTCATGGTACTTGAGTTGAAAGAACAGATTACTGTATGTATACAAGCTGGACATGGGTTGGGTTACAAGCAAGTAAGGGTGAGACATATGGAGGACCTGATCAACTTGATGGTTTTGGAATTTGATTAATCTCAGGCATCTCCCAAGAAAAACAAATAATTAAAAGAAATCTTCCATGCAAAATCAAACATACATGAACAATTCATTTGCCATTTTCTTAATGCATATTCAACAATATCTTGTAGCAAATGAAATTAAAACGAAGGAGAAGTATGGGGACTGAAGTCTGAGGAGTGAGCGAGGAGATACCTCTCTGCCTATGTACTTTTCCTCTTTCTAAAAATAATAACGTTATTGATATACCAAAATGTAATTAGTATAACCACAAGGTGTGGTGCGGTTGGCAAACTGCAACCTCCAGTTGGCGAGCTACCTAGTGCATCAATGGCAGGGGTTCGAAACCCGTAGGAAGCACTTTATGGTCAGGGGCAAGCCGAACCCCAAGTGGGGATTAATCCCACCCTTCGAGTGTGGGGACACCTCATGGTATTTACCAAAAAAAATGTAATTAGTATAACATAGTTTTTTAAGGGCAGAGAATTACATAGTTAGTTACATTCCCCATCTATTTCTGCAAAATTGCGTGTGTGTGTGCATGTCTTGCCTCACAATTGGGCCTAACGTTCCTTTAGTTGTTGTGTTGGACAATTAATCGCAGGTAACATACCCTTTTAATTTCAGAGGTTCACAAGCACACCACGGGGTCCCTCTTTCTCTTTCAGTTTGATTCCGAAATTGATGCGGGAGCCCGAGGCTCGGGGAGCTTTTGTTCTTCAGAGTTCTCCATCAACGGTAACCTCTCTCTCTCTCTTTCTCTCTCTCTCTCCCTCCAATGTATATAGGACAATGTTCTTAGGAAAATATGTTATATCTTTTTCAGCATGAATAGGTATGACCATCATTCTATATCTTAGGCTATATCATAGAATTACCTTTTATGGTCCGTGCATGTCTTCAAGAATTGTGTTGTTTCCCATTGATGTTTGTGCCAGACAGCTCTTCAATATGTAACATATACTTGGGTTTGTAACAATGTAGGTTCATGTTTATTGACGATTAAGAATGGTAACTGGCATTTTCAATTGAACCACAAGTTGTTAATGTAAAACTTTAATCAGATTTTTTCGTGATACCGGTATCATGGAAACTACCTCAAGCATCATATTTCTGCCAAAAAATAGATTGGCATCATGTCAATGATCATTGTCCTGATAATAAGCTTGGAAATTATTTCCTGTTGTTGTCATGCTTAATGTGTCAAATTCTAGTGGCACTAATGTTTATCTTATGGGAATATCATGATGCAAATGCAGTGTTTTCTGTTGTGAATATTTTTTCCGATGCACATCTCATTGCATTTTGTTTAGTATTTTTTCAAAAGTTTCAATTTTCAGGGCACTTACCTCTGGATCCAACAAAAAAAGAGAAAAGGGCACTTACATCTGGGAGAAAGAAAACGGTTAAGCTAATGACATTTGATTCTTCAATAATATTGTACCTGTTCTTCGGTTCAAATTGACAGTTACATTCTCCTTTTTAAAAGATCATTTCAAATTGGTTTTGCACTTCAGTTCGAAAGAAGATGCCAGACTTTCAGTTGGGATCTCACACATTAAAATCTCATGGAGTCAAAGTGGCTAAAGTGCACAAATATGATTGGTTAATTCTTCTGCTTCTTGCGGCGGTTGATATAACTTTGAATGTTATAGAGCCTTTTCACCGTTTTGTTGGCGAGGAAATGATGACTGATCTGAAATACCCTTTTCATAAGGACACCATACCTTTTTGGGCTGTTCCAGTATGTATCTGATTCTCACAATCTGTTGACCAAAAAAGATTCTCATAATCTCTTATATATCCTTGTACCTTACAGAGAATATCAGTGAACATTTTAAGTTTTCTAGTTTTACATTTGTATCTATCTTCCAGGAGAAAAAGAAAAGCCAATACTTGACTATATCTTGAATTCCTGTGTCAGATTTACGCAGTAATCTTGCCTCTTGTCATCTTTCTCCTGTACTATTTTTTCAGAAAGGATGTTTATGATTTGCACCATGCCATATTGGGTATTTTCTGTGTCCCTTTAGGCTTCCACTATACCAGTTTTTTTGTTTTGTGGGCTAATGGTTACATTTGCAACTTAGGTCTTTTCTATTCTGTTCTTATAACTCTTGTTATAACCGATTCAATCAAAGATGCTGTTGGTCGCCCCCGTCCAAACTTCTTCTGGCGGTGTTTCCCTGATGGAATAGGTGTAGGTGACAACTTTCTTTTTTCTATCCATTAAGGGCTTGTTCTTGCATTATGCTGATCACTAACTTGTCAATGGAATCTAAAGGAATTTGATCCTGTCAGTGGCAATGCTATGTGTAATGGAGATAAGAAAGTTATCAAGGAAGGACACAAAAGCTTTCCTAGTGGGCATACTTCAAGTAAGTGAGAAAGTTAATTCAGATATTGCTCTTGTTGCCTTGCTAATTCAGAATAGAAAGATATCCGTGCTCTTATCTTGATGGTTAAACGCATAGTTTTTTGAGGTCTATTGCTGCTATGAGTAACCATTTTATGAGGCCTCCCAGAATATTATGTAGGCACATTTTGCATTCATATTCCTGTTTTCTCAATCTTACAGAAAACTGCTATTTGAGTATTTTCAGTTTATTTTGTACTGGAACATGTATAATGTGGAAGCATAATGTTGGTCGTTTGTATCAAATCATCCTTGTTCTGTTTGTTGGTATTTCTAAGGTTATGCTGTTGAAAAAGACTCTACATAATTGGGTTTGTACTTGTTATTATGCAGTTTCATTTGCAGGTCTTGGCTTCCTTGCATGGTATTTGTCAGGGAAAATTAAAGTGTTTGATCGTAGGGGCCATTCTGCAAAGCTCTGCATTGCATTTCTTCCGTTACTCTGCGCTGCTCTTGTGGGAATCTCTCGTGTGGATGACTACTGGCATCATTGGCAAGATGTCTTTGCTGGAGGTCTTATAGGTTTGCTACTAAATGCATGATAAATTTCCATTTACTTCCACTATAAAACTTGGTTTAGAAAACAGATAGTAATCCATATATTGGGGCCTTGAATTTGTTTAAGTGCAGGAATTATCATAGCTTCAATTTGTTACTTGCAGTCCTTCCCTCTCCCAAACCAGCACGATGGTGCGTCTGCTGTCTAAATTATTTCCTCTTTTCTCTCCTGTCGGATATCTTAATTAGTTCATGTTTCATTCATTCATGGATAGCAAATGCTAATCTAGTGTGTATGCCTGTATTTTTGTGTTTTCTTCCTTAGAAGATAGACCTTATGGTTGTTGTTGACATAGTTGTGTGGCAAGTATTGTATAAGGACTTCAGAAAGAATTGAAATTATTGAAACTTTCCGCAGCAGCTTAGACCTTTGTTGGCCTTTTAACTTTGATACCTAAAATTAAGAATAGAAACTTGAGTGAGGACCTTGGGATGTAGAAATGCATAGGGTTACTAAGATAAAATCAATTTGAAATCAAGAACATGGCATTGTACAAATTTATCTGCTGTCTGTCTCTCTCCTTTTGTTGAATTTTCATTCAAGCAGTAAATTTTTAGACAGACGAATGCTCCAAGTCTTTACGAAATAATCTGTCATTCATCCCCTATCTACTATATACATATAACCTTTGGATTCTTAATCTTGAACTTGCAGGGTGGGCACCTCATGCATATTTTTCCATGCTGGCTGCAGAGAGGAATGGTGGCCAGTCCATGTCCCCAGCCACAAGGGCTAATTACAGTCCAGATTTCACTCCACAAGATACCAGTCCACCACCCCACCAATTACTGGAAGAAATGGAAACTGGGAGAAGATACTGATTTTGCAGTTGTATATGTCAAATAGAAATCATAACTTACTTAAGGAAGATACTTTGTACGCGCGATGCAGAACTTCATTTGATGACTGTAGCTCCCAACTTCATTATTTATTTAATGAAAAATTTTCAATGTCTTGCTGTCCAAGTTTCATTTTCAGGCTGCTGTGGCAATATAACTTTGAGATCGATGTACTCTTTCAAAACCTGTTGGTCTTTTAACAGCTGAGGTTGTTGACTACTAGGAGAGACATTAAAAGGAGAAATCTCAAGTCAAAGAAAACAATATGAAACATTAAATGGCCGGGCGCGTCTTAGTTAATGTCTGAACCCCCAACCCAACTTTCAGGAACCGTTGGCTGTTAACTGGTGATTGCTGGCAACAAGAAAAGCTATCCCATTTACATAATTACAGTTGCTGCACTGCCTGCTCTCATAAATTCCTTCAATTTAAGCCTCTTACCTTATTTCCCTTTGAATATATAGCTACACCTTCATCTGCATCTTCATTAACATACTATATATATCGCCTTGGCATGTAGCTCTCTCCTTGATTCCATCTCTCAGAAAAATATGCAGACATTTACCGGATTCTGTGGAAGCTTGAAGAGGTACAGGAGGAGAAGACGATATCGAAGACTAAGAAGTGTGGTTAGCAAAGAGGAAAATGCAAGGGTTTCAATGGCAGAAGGGAAACGTCCCAAGTTTTGGAAACTCAGAGTGACCCCAAAACTGCGCATGAAGGTTACATCATCGGTACTGCTGTTGAAAAGGTTGAGAAATACTTATGTTGGGATGATGCTTTGGTTTGCTGGTGGTGTTATGCAATTGAATAATGGTAATGTTCACTTATATCAGAAGACTAACGTTTCACAGTTCTTAGCTTGACAGACAGGAACTAAGGTTGACTTATAAAGTTCTTACAATTAAGTTGAACAACAATTTGAGTTTTATTCATGTGCTCGTGTAATTTGGAAAGAAGTTCAAATATTATCAAGTTCTTGTTGTGATTTTTATTTTTCTGGAAATCGTGATGGGACAATATAGCAAGACGTGAACGGAACATGCTTTTTGTAGGCGAAAACATGAAATCTCTTTAGAAAGCAATAATGTATGTAAAATGTTATGTACCTCATCTCGAGCTTACATTAGAAAAGAGAATGGTCCGTACTCCGTATATAGCACAAAAGCTCTTTCATCATGATACATGATTGAATGATGTGGTGTGGCGGCTGATAAGATTTGCAGCTTTTCTTATACGAATTTGGAACATTGTGCCTTCTTTCTCTAGTTGTAAATTGCAGAAAAAAATCTTTCATGGTAATTTTTAGCGTCCTTGAAAAATTGAGGGATGGATTTGGGAGTTGAAGTAAGAACAGTTGGACTAGTACAAGTGCTCATATAGTCAATTTCTACAGCAGTTAATTTAAGGGTGTGTGTGTATGTACTATGTATGAGGTTCTTGTCTGATAAATTTGAAAACAGAGTTGTCCAGTCTGCATTTCCTGTAAACGGGTTTACATGATGTGCAGTTTTCTATTGTATTTTGCTGTAAATAGGAAGGATATATAGCAAGCAATATTGTCTAAGCATTTATGAGTATCGGTTGGGACTCTATCATATTTTGAATGGTGTTGGTGAGGTGACAACATATAAAGTCAAGACACTTCAAATGTTGTGCACGGCATTGGCATGCAGGTCAGGTGGCTATAATTATTAGTTCCTGCCCGCCTGCCTGCCTGCCTGCCTGCCTGCAATTTAAATACTGTTATCTACTTTAACCAATCCGCCTTTTGAACATCTGCATATTCACAATTGTCACTTTGGTTTCTTCACCCAGTTTTTACATGGTATGAGCTACACAGACAGCTACAAGGTGTATGTATATTGTTAACAACTTATAAGTTAACAATAAGAAATCTGGTGAGCTATATATTTTGTCACATGTATCTTGTATGATGTATATGAGAACCTTGTGAACAGAAATTGATGCTGCAACAGCAAGACACATGTTTCAGATTCCTCAAGACTCATCAGTCAACGTTTGCTGAATTAAAACTTTTGTCATTACGTGTGAAAATCAATTCAATAAGGATCAACTTGGTTTTGTTTTATTTTATCAATCAACACCGCACCCCGATAAAATTGACTGCACTCTACATCTGTATTTGTATATATATAACACCAGCCTAGCCTACCTAATAAGTAAAAGCATGGGAAGGGTGAGAGAGTAGAGAATATCATTTGGTGGCTAGCTAGGAGAAAAAATGGGTGTCTCTAATTCTGTTGGGCTGGTGCTTGTTCTTCTAGTTGCAGCTGCCATGTTCACCGTGCAGCTAGGTCTGGTCACAGCAGCAGCAGCAGCAGCAGGTATCTATCAATATTTCTCATTTAATTTAATTTGGTGCATATATCTGATTCTATATATTAACTCGTTAGTGTTGCATTGCATTGCTTGCAGTTGCAGATGATAAGAATATTATTATAATTAATAGGGAACTGAGAGAAAGGCGGCCACCTCCATTTCGTCCAAAATCACCACTTGCAAACCAACAACCAGGCATGAGACTTCCTGCTCCCGATCCTCCTCCTCCTCCTCCTCCCCCGCCCTCGCTTCCAAACAACTTCAACAATAACCGTGCCTGATGATGACAATAACTCATCATCTAACATGTTGCTGCTACTTCCTCCAAAACAACAAACATGTTGCTGCTATGCTATATGCTATTCTTTTATTTTATATCTAGCAAATGGTGTTTCCTTGTTTTCTTCCTTCTGTAATTTGGCCCATAAATGGATAAGATTATTGCTGAGGATTTTTTTTCTTTTCTTTTCTTGTCACGGGATCATCTAGGCGGATCCTTTTTTTTAATATATATAGTACAGCCGACCGGCTATACCCGGTTTTTATTTGTTTTTAAAAATGGTCTAGCCGTTCGGCTATAATCGGTTTTATTAATTTTTCATGAAAATGGTATAGCCGGCCGGCTTTACTTATTTTGACACATGGGCGCATAGTCTAGCCGGGCGGCTATAATCCATTTTTTTATTTTTTCATAAAAATAGTATAGCCGATCGGCTTTACTGCGTTTTTGTTATTAATTTTGCATAACAATAGTATCGCCGAACGGCTATACACGGTTTTAAAATTTTTTTAATAGTATAGCCGTGCGGCGATACTCGGTTTTTTCAAATTTTTAAAAAAAATAGTATAGCCGGTCGGCTATACTAGTTTTGCCTAATTTTTAAAAAATAGGTATAGCCGCCCGGCTGTACCATTTTGACACGTGGCCCTTAGGCGGTAGCCAGTTTTTAAAATTATATATAGTATAGCCCACTGGCTATACTCGGTGTTTTCTAAATTTCCTTTTTAAAAATAGTATAGCCGGTCGGCTATACTAATTTTCCCTAATTTGTTTTATAAAACGTACAGCCGCCCGGCTATACTTGTTTGCCTTAATTTTTCATAAAAATAGTATAGCCGGTCGGCTATACGTGGTTTTTAAATTTTTTTCCAAATTTTTTAAAAACAGTATAGCCGCCCGGCCGTACTCCTTTTTCTAATTGTTTTTAAAAACAGTATAGCCGTTCGGCTGTGCTGTTTTTACACGTGGCGCCTAGGCGCTAGGTGGGTCCTTGTTCTAATATATATAAATAGGATAGCCGCTCGGCTAGACTCGGTTTTATTATTTTTTTCGTAAAAGTTGTATAGCCGACCGGCGATACGTGATTTTTATTTTATTTTTAAATAGTATAGCCGCCTGGCTATACACTCTAATATTATATTTAAAACGTATAGCCGCTGCCGCATCCATGGTTTTTCCTAGTTCTGAGATATTTGTAACAGATGGCGGAGCTGGCGACTCAGAAACATGTTCAATTCATTCTGTCAGTCGGAAAGGTTTGATTTTTATGCAAAATCAATGCTTATAGTTTTATTTTGCCTTATATATAATCTACCTAGTAATAATGGTGATACTGTACTCAGAAGGACTGTTTGGAGTCTCTGGCGATGGAGCATCTAAGAATGAATGGGGCATACTGGGGTTTGACCACTCTTGATCTTCTCGGAAAGCTTCACACTGTGGATGCCGATGAGGTTGTTTCCTGGGTCCTCCAGTGCTAGCATGACTCAGGTTTTTACAACACTAACTAGTATTTCGTTCTTTATTGTTTGTTTCTTGGTTTAGAGTTCTACAGAAACTGATGACACGATACAGCTTTGTATATGCAGGTGGGTTTGGCGGTAACATTGGGCATGATCCACACATACTATATACTTAAGTGCTTGGCCTTATTTGACAATATTGAAGTTCTGGATGTTGACAGGGTTGCAAATTGTATCCTTTACCACATCTATTTGTAAAATTTGAAATAAATCCTCATTCCCCTAATGTATGCATTTTCAATTGATGAATGGTGTACAAAAATAATTGGTACTTCTTGTGTGGAGCGGCTGCTTGTAGCTCAATTGTGGTAGTTTGGCATTCATTAAGTGGACAATCAAAATAAAGCAGAGAGAAGTTAGCAAATTTGGTTAAACTTAATATTCAACTCAGATGTCGCTATGCTGCAAAATGAAGATGGATCTTTTAACGGGGGACATGTGGGGTGAAGTTGAAACAAGGTAGTATTTTTTCAATTTCCTTTGTGTTTTTGCATCTTATATTTGTTGTAGTCACCCGCTCTTTATGCCAAACATGATTTAGTAACAATTGTTTTCCGTTTCTTCAAAAGAAAAAAGTATATAAACATTTTTCTTTCTTCTTTTAGGTTTTCTTATATTGCTATATGCTGTCTCTCATTACTACATCGTTTGGATAAAATCAACGTGGAGAAGGCAGTGAACTACATTCTAAGTTGTAAAAATCATGATAGCGGATTTGGATGCACGCCTGGTGGGAGTCTCATGCAGGTCAAAGTATGTCATTTACCCCTATACTATCTGTGTGAAATTTTAGTTTTTTATTAGTACTTCATAAATTGGTTGTATGCTACCCTATATGAGCTGTTCTGAGTTCATAATTCAATCAATTGTATTATTTGTATGCGAAAACTCCACATATCCTTGGAGCTGTTTCCTTTTTGTCCGTTCAATGGAAATTAGCAGTCATCTTTGCCTTGCATCTCTCCAACTAAGGTTTTCATATGTTATTTTGCCCTTTTCAATTAAAAACTTAGTCGATGACATGTTGACAAGAATGATTGCTTTAAAGATGAATGCTGTGCTGAATTTGTTAATCCTGAGTGTAAACTGCATTGCAAAGTAACATATTGGGATTTTTGAAATTGTCTTATGACTTTCTTTTTGGCCATATGTACAATCTATTGACAACCTAAAATAGAAAGGATAACTGACTGAAAACTTTGAATAGGAACTGATTGTCAGTGTAACTTACCAGGTCCTGAGACTTAACTCTTTTTACATCAGTCCAACTACGAAGTGTAGAAATATCCCTAATCTCACTTATGTGATTATTCAGTTATTGTCTATATGTCAAAATTGGACTCAAACTTACAATTCTGTTCTGCCCATGGTGGTGACTGCAGTTTTCTGTTGTGTGGGTGCTCTTGCTATTACAGGCTCTCTACACCATATTGACAAGGACCTTCTTGGGTGGTGGTTATGCGAGCGGCAAGTTAACTCTGGAGACATTCTTATCAAAGCAAAAGTTAAACCTGGAGGTCTTAACGGTCGTCCAGAGAAACTTCCTGATGTGGGTTTTTTCCCCTTTGAAAATTGAAACTATATTTTTTTTGTTTTAACATTCTTGGAGACTCTTCCTTACTGCATTTGTGCTTTATTTCAGATATGCTACTCATGGTGGGTTCTTTCTAGTTTGGTCATGATGGACAGAGTTCATTGGATCAATAAGGAAAAGCTTGTCAAGTTCATTTTGGACTGCCAGGTTACATTTACCTAATAAGCTCTGTCTGTAGATTTGGATTATGCTTTAGGAATGGGCATTCTCTCTGGTAACTTACCCCAGAACGAAAATATGTGACTATGGGTTTATCTGAATGTTGCACGTAATTACTGAAAATTGCAGGACACTGAAAATGGAGGAATTTCTGACAAACCAGATGATGCTGTTGATGTCTACCACACATACTTTGGTGTAGCTGGTAAATAAGTTTTGTTTGTTTCCACATTTCTTTACCTATGGCATGTCGTAAGTTGTAATCAGTCTGGATGATCATGATCAATGCATGGTTGGCGGTTTCGAGTTTCCAACTTCATCCAGAGGGGTTGCAACTTGCAAGGATCTGCCTATGAAGGGGATAAAATGCCAAAATGATATATAAGATGATTTATGTTCTTCATGTAATTTCTTTTTTGGTTCTTGGTTGCTTGCTCTCTCCTCAGTATTCATTACATTAAGGTTGATGCTTGTTGATGCAGGTCTTTCCCTTCTGGAATATCCTGGGGTGAAAGCAATAGATCCAGCATATGCTTTGCCAGTTGATGTTGTGAATAGGATTCTCTTGGGCAGATGAAGGCTTTGTTTGCAAGATTCTGATTTGCATGTATCTCTTGCTACAATTCACTATCTTTTCCTTGTTGACTTTCGTGTCACACATATGTGCCAGTTAACTTAACCAATTAGAGCTGTCTTTAGTTTCATTTCTGTGTAAAGAATTCAATTCCTGGCTGTTTATTTCAGTGTTTGACCCGATTGTCCAAAGAGAATATCGACCTTAGGTTCGAAGTTTAAAGCTTGACCTGGTCACACACTCCCCTAGGCCCAGACGACATCTACATATAAAATAAATAAAAGAGGTATTCAAATGGGATTGGACTATCACATATAATTTGTAAGGAAGATTGTTTCAAAGCCGCGCTTGGATATATAAGTATATTTTGTTTTAGAACTAAATATTGACGCGTGAATTGCAAGGTAGATCGATTCATAAAATATGTTTTTGGATTTCCAATTGAAATGAAATAAATAATCGCTTAATTAAACATTTATGTTTTATATCACTGGTGGCATCGACTTTTTGGTGAAACTGAAATTCACTGCGCAAAAGTAAGAAATATATGTTTTTGCTAGCTTTCCGCAGTTAAAAATTAGTTATGAAATAAAAGAAATTTTAGCATTCAGCTAGCACATGTGTAAAATTGGAGAAATTATAGAATACTACAATAGTATGACCACGTTATACATTTTGTACACGTGTTATAATGTTCGGAATTCCGATTATATGATCATGTATTCTTCAACATCCACTAACATTTCTCTAATCGTATTCTATTCTTCCTAAACATTAACATATATATACTCGATATACTTAAATAGTCGACATGCATACTTTAATTTATTACACATTAAACATAAGATAAGACAGCTGCCCTCTGCCAGGCAAAAATGTCATCAATAATTGAATACATTAGTTTTGCATGAAATGGCTGGAGCTGGAGATGGATGACTTTCATTTCACGGTTCAAAACCCAGTATATATATATATATATATATATATATTAAAAAGAAGTGGATTGGGAAGAAGAGGCAAGAAATGATAAGAGATATGCGAGTCTCTTCATTCATTTTGGTTGCTTTTCTTTTGCTAGCTACTAACTTGGTGCAGCAATTCAGTCTACAGGCTAATGCAGGTTGGTTTATAAATTATATATACACCATGTTTCTGTTTCAATTCCTAATCTTAATTACTTTACTAGATCCATTTGGACTGACTGAGTTTATATATATAGCCATGTTTGCAGATATGAGGCTGCGGAAAGTAGAAAGAAGACACATATTGCCAAGCCCACCACCTCCTCCCCGTCCAAATAGGATCACCCGTTATTTTAGACCAGGTGTTTCCGGTGGGGCTGTGGCCCCAATTTCTCCTTCACCGGCTGCAATATGAGTGTCAAAATATTTATATATTAATTAGAATCTAATAGTAAAACTTTATCAGAACTTTTTGTTTTTGATCCAGAATTTATATCTCCAATTTCCAAACGATCCAGAATTTCTCTCTTAATATCAGTACGTTATTAGGGCCTAAGGTTTAGGCCATTTCCATTTACCACCACCTAATTACTAATTAATTACTACAAATGTAGCTAGGTTTTCCTAAAATTCTTACGACAGCAAAACGTCCCTTTCCGAGAATTGTGAATGCCGTTTTTATTCGAGTCTTTGATTTGATACATACAACATCAATGTTGGGCAAATCGAATACAAACACAAATCCTCCCTCTTTTGATTGGGTTTGATTGAATTCGATTTGATTTGGTTACTTGAAGAATTTAATTCATGAAGGCTTTAGCAATCAGCGTCACATAAATTAGGAATTCATGATAACCAATCCGCCCAATACAAATTACAATAATATTCTCTTATATGCGTTTACTCCTGAATATCATGAGATTCTTACAAGATTTACGTGGAAAATAAAAATGAGAATAATGTAATTTAAATGCTCGACCTCAATTTCGAGATTTCTTTCTACTTACAAAATACTTACCTTGCCGACACAACACCAACACAACTATTTCCATCTTTAATAAAATGACCCAAAAGAAAAGAAAAGAAAAAACATAACCAACCAAGTCTATATATAAATACCGCACTCTCGTCTTGTCTCAAATCCATCCATTACAGACCCTATAGCCAATCTCCTCATCCTAAAGAAAACCCTAGTTTCCAAGCTCTGTCTTTGATCGTGAGGGGAGGAGGAGTTGGAAAAGTTGTCTACAATGGAGTCTCGATCTTACATGGTATGATCGATCAGAATATTATATAATCTCTCAACATATTTATTATTTCTTCCTGTTTCCATTTTCTCCTCTTTGATTGGTTCTGTAAATTCATTTTGGACTTGTCTTTAAAATTTACAGACGTGTGGACTGAAAGTGGACACCAAGTCCGGCGGATGGCATAAGTGCCTAACGAAAATGCTGAAAAAGATCCGAGGTACTCTTTAATCTATTTCTTCTTTCCCTGAACCCTAAATCCTAAACCCTAACGTTACGTTACGGAGCATAATATACTTAATCGGACAGAAATTGAAGTGTTGAGTTTGTGTTTGAATGGTTTAGGAGCGTCATACAATGTAGATGCAGAAGCAGGTATGGCATATATTTCTGGTAAAGTAAACCCGACAAAGTTACTGAGAAGGCTAGTGCAGGCTGGGAAAGAGGCCGAAATCTGCTGGGTCAGGACTGGAGATCAATGTACCAACTATGACGGCTATGGCGAGGGCAACATTGTCAATGGCAATGGGTATTATGATCATCATTCATATTATAGGGCTGGAGCAGTTGACCCTTATATGGATGGGTATAATGGTCCTTATGGTCAAAGATCATCATATTACCCATACGTACATTACTATCCCCAGGCGCCACCGTACGCCTATTATTGATCATCCAATAATTAATTAGTTCACCCCTTTGTATTTGAGGAAGCAATTTTGTGTCAGGGTTGATTAGGAGTCGACCGACCTACCTAATTATATATACACTAGCTAATACGTGCACGGTATTCATTGTTTTTTTATTGGATACTATGTAACGCAACTGAATAAGCAGTCTCTGTGGACGGATTGCAAATTTTGTTTTCTTTCTTTCATGGATTATAATTTCTTTTTGGTTGAGTATAATTGTTTCCATTTAATTCAGAGCTTGTATTGTATTGGGTAAATAAAGCAGTGCATGCTTGCATGTACCGTGAGCATGTGATTTCACCTTTGCATGCTGCTCCTATTCAACTTGTGCAGGTCTATAAACAGCTATTTCCCTGGTTCTGCTATATACTTGATTGATAATATTTCCGTTTGTAAACGTACGCCTGGTAATTGTTCAGAATTCGCTTTTTCAGTTATGGTTTATAATTTGTTTTTGCAATCTTTTCGTTTATACCTTTTTAATTTACAGGGCCACTATCCCACATCTTTTACAAATAATAAATATTGATAGCAATAAGACTCTACAAAATGATCAACCGCATTCATTGATATAGTTTTATGATCTTAATGTATATATAGTTCGGTTCTATCAACTCATGTAATTTGGACCTTGAAGCCATATTATTATTTGTAGGAATATTTATCAAAGTTACATGAAAATTTCTAGTTCATTTGCAAATTGATGTAAGCTTACTACAATGTGAACTAAATTTATACTGCAACTAGTAAAGTTATGGATCATTATATATTATATTCTAAATTATCTTGGATTCCAAATATCATTTTGTTTACACCACATGAGCATAAAATTCTCGTGATGATCATGACTTTAGATATGCGTAAAGAAACTTTGATGCAATGAGAGTAATAACAAATTAATGAGAATGTAAAATCCCATTGGTCAATGCACGACTGTTTGAATATGTATTTTTAGTTTCCTCAAACATCATTAAAAATGGAAAAAGACATATCTCAAATGCCTGCATATATGGGTTGATATATTTCAAAATACTAATTTGCACTCCAGCGAGAAAAAAGAGAGAGATTAATTTCAAAGACAACAAGGAAACTACTAAGAAATGAATTTATACACAAAAAGTACGCGTTATTTGCGTAATGTAGGGAACAAAAAGTTCGTGACCATAACCATACAAATACGAAACCTATGACTTAACACCTACTTCCCCTTCCTTTTTCCCCTTTTCTAGACTGAACCAACTTTGCGTTTGCTTGATTTCCAAAGGTCCGCGTAGGTTTTGGACTCGCAAAGGTCCTTTGTGGCGTGAGACTTAAAGTTTTTATCTTGAATTTTTTTTAAAAAAAATTTCGGTGGGGGACTTAACTAAAAGTTATTTCTAATTTTTTTTTTATAGTTTACTTGTGATTTTTCTTTTTAAATATTATTTTATTTGTTATCTCATTTTTTGCTTCTTTTTATTTTGTATTATTTTGTGTTTTGTTGTAGGCTGCAAGTTTCTGGTGCTATCAAGGTTTTGTTATGTGCAGATTGAAGAGATGTTAGGCTTTCTCTTCTTTCTTTCTCTTTTCTTGTTGTTTTCTTTTGAGTTGTTCAAGCGCGAGTCATTTTTAAGATAACGCATTTGTTCATGTCTCTCATGTTTGGGTTTTGGATAATATTGATTGTTTCAGTGCTATCTTTTGTACACTTTTATGGTGCTTATTGTTTTGAAATGGGTTTGATCAGAGAAGAAAAAAGAAGGCCTAATGCATAAGCCCCAATGTCCATTGTCTTATTCGAAAATAATTGCCAACTGGTGCTTTTGCAATTGAGGCCAATATTTGGCTTAATGAAACTTTGGATGCTCCATGCCACGTGTGCCACTCTTACTCTTGTTCTGATTAATTAATGAAAAATCTAAGAAATCCTGCTCATTCGGTCTGAGTCGGGGATTGGGATTCATTCTCTAATTCGAACTTCGATCTGAAGACCAAGAGATAGGAGAGATAGGTCAATGGCCCACTACTAGTAACATTGAAATTGTCCCAACTTAACCACCTACAAAGCCCAATAAATGTGGAGTTTTATCACAAAAGGTCTCAAATCAATGATATTAATAGTGAAACTATTCATTATATATTTTATTTTATTTAGTCAAATTTCCGATGTGTAATTTGTATTCGTCAACAACCTTCACTTAGATTTTGAAATAGTGGTTAACCCAATTCAGGCCTCCTCCTAGTATATATATATATATATATATAAGGCTCTGGTTCTTAGCTGCCTAGTTAATTGGAACTCACGCGCCCCCCTCTGATATTGCTCAGTTAACACCTTGCACTTCCGATCCATCTCAAGTTATATGGTGTTGGTTAATTTTTCATTGATAAGTGGTCAGACTCATCTTTTATAGAAGAGGTCAATTACATTATTTTCTTAACTTTGATTAATTCAATGTCAAAGACATGAGGCTAACTATATACGTACTCAAGCGCGTTTCTTTATTATATATCCTTATTAACTATATATATATGTGCTGTGACTCAGCTGTTTGTGTAAATTATCTAGAATAGTAATGTTGGATTCAAAGTCAAGGCCTTTTTTTACTTCGTCGTCGCCCGTCTTTCCCCACAAACACTTCACTGATGAAGAAATTTCTCAATTCATTCTTCTTTTTTCAAAGCGCGGGTTCTCACTAGAGCTCGAGGGACCATGACTTGCGGTTCAAGTTTATGGATGACTACTATATATATATATTGTAGCCACGGGAGAGAGGTAGATGTAGGGCAATATTAATATAGAAACTAGAAAGTTACCGCATCTGTCCATCTTTGAAGTTGAGGAGGAGTTGAGAGATGGGACTGATCTCATGCTTTTTCATCCGTCTTTTGACGTTGTTCGTATTGATTGTCTCTTCATTCTTAGTCATGCAATCACCTCATTACGTTCATGCAGGTAACTTACTATTATTTCTTCCTTCTAATTAACATGATTTAGAATAATTCATTTTCATTTCTCAGAGCAGCTTACGAATTAAGAGTTTATGCATCATATCATTTACTTTGTCATACAGGAACATATGATTTGATTGATGTTATTGAGTTTGAGTTTATTGATTGCTGCAGATCCAAACCCGAGAAAATTAAGGATCATACCAAGCCCACCCCCTCCTCCGATTTCAGCCGCAGGACCACATCAACATGGCTAATTTGGGACATCCATCTTACTAGTCTGATTTAATTAATGATTACGTAAAGTTTCTCTTCAGATTAAAAAGAAAATATTACATAAAGTAATTGCTTGGAATACAAGATTTCCGTTTGCAAACGTACGCTTGGTAATTGTTCAAAATTCACTTTTTCAGTTTTGGTTATATAATTTGTTTTTGCAATCTTTTCATTTAACCTTTTTAATTTACAGGTGCACTATCCCACATCGTTTACAAATAAAGATTGATAGCAATACTCTACACCGCGTTCAATGATATTTTTTTTTTATGATCTTTAATTCCTATACAATGTATATATAGTTCGGTTCTATCAACTCATGTAATTTGGACCTTGAAGCCATATTATTATTTTTAGGAATATTTATCAAAGTTACAGTAAAATTTCTAGTTAATTTGCAAATTGATGTAAGCTTACTACAATGTGAACTAAATTTAGACTGCAACTCATAACGTTATTGATCATTATATATTATATTCTAAATCATCTTGGACTTCCAATATTATTTTGTTTACACCACGTCAGCAGAAAGCTCCTCAAGTCCTTTTGTTTACACCACATGAGCATAAAATTCTCGTGATGATCATAACTTTAGATAGGCGTAAAGAAACTTTGATGCAATGTGAGTAATAACAAATGAGAATGTAAAAACCCATTGGTCAATGCACGACTGTTTGAATATGTATTTTTAGTTTCCTCAAACATCTCATAAGTTGATTAAAAATAGAAAAAGACTATCTCAAATGCCTGCATATGGGTTGATATATTTCAAAAGACTAATTTGCACTCCAGCGAGAAAAAAGAGAGAGATTAATTTCAAAGACAACAAGGACTACTAAGAAATGAATTATACACAAAAAGTATGCGTTATTTGCATAAGGTAAACAAAAAGTTCGTGACCATAACCATAAAAATCGAAACCTATGACTTAACACCTACTTCCCCTTCCATTTTTTGCCCTTTTCTAGACTGAACCAACTTTGCGTTTGCTTGATTTCCAAAGGTCCGCGTAGGTTTTGGACTCACAAAGGTCCTTTGTGGCGTGAGACTTGACTTAAAGTTTTTGTGTTTTGTTGTAGGCTGCAAGTTTCTGGTGCTGTCAAGGTTTTGTTGATGTGCAGATTGAAGAGATGTTCATGCTTCCTCTTTTTTCTTTCTTTTTTCTTGTTGTTTTCCCCTTGAGTTGTTCAGGCGCGAGTCTTTTTTAAGATCACGCATTTGTTCATGTCTCTCATGTTTGGATTTTTAATAATATTGGTTGTTTCAATGCTATCTTTTGTACACTTTTATAATACTTATTATTTTTTTAATAAAGTATCTCTGCCAAAAAAAATTATATTAAGTAGGAATTGAATAAAAATATCAATTAGAAAAAGAGAAATTGAAATGGGTTGATCAAGTCATGAGAGAAGACAAAAGAAGGCCTAACGCGCATAAGCCCCAACGTCCATTGTCTTACTGGAAAATAATTGCCAACTGGTGCTTTTGCAATTGAGGCCAATATTTTTCTGATTAATTAATGAAAAATCTTCTTCGTTCTTCGGTCTTCGGTCTTCAGCACTCCTCTGACTTTTCCGTCTATATAAATAGAAGCATGCCATGCCAACATCCTTAAGGCAAGAAAGCTGTGCTATTTTCCAACAAAGCAACAAAGCTGCTAGCTATAACGCCGATCGATCGATCATTGGAATAAAGCAAGATAGATTAATTGTTGAGATCGATGGGCCTGATGAAGTCATGCTTTTTGGTCCGTATTCTCATGCTACTCATGCTGATCACTGCTTCCTTCTTTTCCATGCAATCAGCTCATGTTCAAGCAGGTTTGTTTAATTCTTCTAATAAATTAATTAACATGCATGAACTAATCTGAAAACATTAATTTGTTTCTCATTTATAAACATTCACTATATATATATGTATTTTTTTTTATCACTCACTCTTATTGTATAGCTAGGCTACCTAGACATGCATTATGTCTTTTAATCATCACTCTTATACAGTTAATTAATCCATTTGACATTGATAAATCTCAGTAACATTACTGATTACTGTATTTATTTGCAGCTCCAATGCCAAGGAATCTGAGGGGAAGGCTGCCATCCCCACCCCCTGCTCCGATTGGGGCCACAACTACCAGACAAGACGTCCCTCCTCCGAATATATAATATAATATATACTAAGAAGCTACAACATGAATGGGGTCTAGTCGTGGAAATCACATTGACTTGTAAATCAGCGATCTCAAGTTCAAATTCTCATGACACTTAGACAGTGTGTGTGAGAAAACTCTCATCTTGTAATATCGCTTGTATAAAAAAGAGTCTACAATTAGTCTTGGTTAATTGTCGCATTACTTAATTTTCATTCATCATTAATATTGTACTTGGTTTAATTTCCCACATATAAATTATATGCGCGTCACTTAACTCAATAACATTAAGAATATTAGAAATAAAAAAAAAGAAGAAGGAAGAGGAGGATGTTCAAATTCAATTGACCAAGAAAAAAGACCTAGCTACTGTATATGTGGGTTCAACAACAAGCATTTGAATGTAACTCATGCTAAGTTCTAAGCGTTTGAATACAGTACGTAACAAAGCAAGGCAAGCGGAAATTGCAACGAGCTTAATGCAATGCCTACTTAGCTAAATACATCCTATTTGACGAGAAATTATAGAATAGTGTACAGTGGATATACTACGCGGTACTCCCACTCAAATATTGCCACTTGTCTTTTATATTTGGGTACAGCTGGACTTGACACTTAATATATTTATCATTTAAATTAAAATTAGGAAAATAAAAAAACTTTAAAAGAAAAAGATAAGAGTCCACCACACCCTCGCAACCCAGCCGCCTAACCCAACCTGTCTGCCATGGCTGTTCAAACATCTCCTCAACTCTTGCTTTGTGTTCTGGATTTGGAGCCTTGTCAAGTAAGTTACCAAGCAGGTTTGTTTAATTCTTCTAATTAATTAACATGCATGAACTAAGAGGAAAGCATTGTTTATAAACATGCATTATATATATAAACCTTTTGCCTCAATAACATGTATTGTATAGCTAGCTAGACATGCATTATGTCTTTTATAAACCTTTAACGACAATATTACTGATTAGTTTTTTGGGCAATGGTATGCATAATATTACTGATTAGTTTTTTGGGTAAGGGTAAATGCCCAATTCAGGGCTAGTCAATCAACCCGCTTTGATAATATGTTAAATTTCAGAAAAACGGGTCAATGACTCACTACTAGCAACATCGAAATTGTCCTCAACTTAACCATCTACAAAGCCCAGTAAATACGAAATTTTATCACAAAAGGTCTCAATAATATTAACAGTGAAACCATTTATTATATATTTTATTTTATTTAGTGAAATTTCCGAAGGACTTATATTCTTCAACAACCTTCACTTAGATTTTGAAATAGTGGTTTACCCAATTCAGGCCTCCTCCCAGTATATGGGACAAAGGCTCTGGTTCTTAGCTGCCTAGTTACTTGGTTAATTGGAACTGGCGCTCCCCCCCTCTGATATTGCACCCCAGGGAAAAAGTGAACACCTTGCACTTCGCGATCCATCTCAAGTTACATGGTGTTGGTTAATTTTTCATTGATAAGTGTTAAGACTCATCTTTGACAGAAGAGGTCATATACAGAATAGTAATGTTGGATTCAAAGTCAAAGTCAAGGCCCATTTTTCCCTTGGTCGTCGCCCGTCTTTCCCCACAAACATTTCACTGAAGAAATTTCTTAATTAATTAATTCTTCTTTTTTCAAAGCGCGGGTTCTCACTAGAGCTCGAGGGACCAAGACTTGCAGTTTAAGTTTATGGATGACTATATATATATGTAGCCACCCCACCACGGGATGAGAGAGGTAGGTAGAAGATCTGTAGGGCAATATTAATATAGAAACTAGAAAGTTACCGCATCGGTCCATCTTTGAAGTTGAGGAGTAGTTGAGAGAGAGATGGGACTGATCTCATGCTTTTTCATCCGTCTTTTGACGTTTTTCGTATTGATTGTCTCTTCATTCTTAATCATGCAATCACCTCATTACATTCACGCAGGTAACTTACTATTATTTCTTCCTTCTAATTAACATGATTTAGAATAATTCATTTTCATTTCTCAGAGCAACTTACGAATTAAAAGTTTATTCATCATATCATTTACTTTGTCATACAGGAACATATGACTTGATTGATGTTATTGAGTTTGAGTTTATTGATTGCTGCAGATCCAAACCCGAGAAAATTAAGGATCATACCAAGCCGACCCCCTGCTCCGAAGTCAGCCGATGGACCACATCAACATGGCTAATTTGGGACATCCATCTTACTATTCTGATTTAATTAATGATTACGTAAAGTTTCTCTTCAGATTAAAAGGAAAGTATTAAATAAAGTAATTGCTTGGAATACAATTTTTTACTTGTGTTACATTATTTCATATTGTCATCCTATTCATTTTGTTTATCATTTGTGCGTTAATAATTAGTTGTCAGTGGGGTATAGCTCAGTTGGTTGGGCCCTTTCACTTCCACTTATGTAAGCAGAGGTTCGAAACTCTCAGATACCTAATGAATATTTGTGTAAACCCCCTCTCCCCCAATCTCTTGTATTGTACTAAAAGTATTATTCTTATACAATTTAAGGATTGTGATTAAAAAAACACTTTAATTTAATTAGTAAATTCTGCAAGCACATAAATGTTCTAGCCGTTTCAATTCATAAAAGAAGAAGACGTGATCAAAGGAGGAGAAAGTCAGAGAAGTGGGCAGTTAGTTCTATTACAAACAAAAGTAATTAATTATGCACCCAAATTCTAGGTTCCATTTCTGATTTCCCAAAATCATTTGTATAAAAAAATATAAATGAATAAATAACTATACACCCAAAAAGAAATTACAACAAAATAAAAAGAAAGAAGTGGGCATGTGCCCCTCTTCGGCCTTGGCGTATGCAGCGTCTAACTTGACCCACCAAGCAGATACGTGTGGAGTGGTTTTGGGCTACCTCCAATTCAAGCCTGATTCATGACGTTGGGCTTTCCAATTTATAACCTTTAGCTAATCCTTCCTCTCATCATCATTATAGGCTTTCTCTAGCTAGTTATTTAAGAAATTCTATTGACACCCACCCACCATTCAATTATTCGGTCCGACTTTGCCAACTTTACCCTCTGACTTATTTGATGAAAACAAACAAATAAAACCATTTTTTGCCTCCTTTTATAATTTTTTTTTTTTGTCATTCACTAAGGAGGGGGAGGATGAGTATTATATTGGGTTGCCTCCAGTGGCGTAGTCAGAAATTCTCTCAAGGAGGGTCAATATTATTAGACTGAGAAAGACTTGGTGAACATTAAGATAGTATTTTTTTTATATG